TATATTATAAATACACTCCTTGGAACAAATCGATCCTTTCAGCTTTACAATATGCAGGCTACAGAACTAGATGTAAGTATTTGTAGCTACAGATTTTGGATTGTTATGAAGTATGTTTTGGTTGCTGGATGTCGATATGAGCCAATTTGCTTACGACTGTTGGAATGAAACGAACTATTGCTCAAAACATTATTTTTCAGTGCCCTCTTTGCATGGAACCGCTTGAAATAGACGATGTCAACTTTTATCCTTGCACTTGTGGCTATCAAGTATGTATAAGGCAAAAATCTAAGCAAATTACCCAAATTAAATATGTCATAAGATTGAATTTGCATTTTCACTTGCTAAAACGGTCGATTGATGCTATTAAATTTATCGGGAATTTATTATTAAGGGAGCATTTAGTCTGCTGGCTAATAATTTCTACAAATATTATAATTTTTCTTTAAAATTATTGGATTTGCTGATTAAAAACATCTATTTTTTAAATGTTTTGATAAAATTAAATTGGGTTGTGATTGTTAGATATCTTAGTACCATATTTGTTTTATGCATTTCTTTAAGCCAAGAAGGCTGGATTCCTGTAGTCCTATGATAAAAAAATTGAAAACATCCTGAAGAAAAACAATGAGCATGATAATAATTGTCCTCTAGCTATTGAGAATACCCAGAAMGTTTGACAGAAAGAAAGTTTAAATTGACAAATATGCTTATCATCTTGATCATGTGACAGCTTAATTTTTGAATTATTATCCAAAAGMTGGAAAAAGTTCAATGTACGTGTATGTCACATGATCAAAATGGTCATTTAAAATTGTTATATGAGTTAATTAGTATTTCCGACATTTTCCTTGTGAATAATAACCATACTTTATAGTTTGGTTATAACAGACTTAACGCAGTTGTACCATGATTATAATCAAAGCAAATAGTATATATTAGACTGTATTCAGGGTGTGCACTACTCCTTGAAATCCTTGGGTTAAAGTTGGAAAGTCCTGGGATTAAAAAGTCCTTTTCAAGGGCTTTCGAAAAGCCCTTAAAATTGACAGCTGGTTGCTTTTTGGCATTTGGATTGAAATGTGGCTATTTGTGAAAATCTTCACTAAGTGGAACATTCAAAAAAAAATTATCTTCAAAAATTGTCCTTGAAAATCGCATTTGTTTGCTTAAAAAATTATTTGAAAAGTCTTTGAATATTGTAGTGAAAATGTTGCACAAAGCTTGTCTTACTTGATAATAGTGTGTCGTTGAACCAGAACAGTGTGTAAAGACAAAAGGTAATTATACACACAGTTCTGGTACATTGATATACCTTATTAGTATAATCATATTAATGGTCTATCACTCATACTGCGCTGTGATTGGCTACTCTATTAATGGTCTAATTTGTGATAGACCACTCGCAGGAAAATCAATCYCATTAATAAATCATTTTTAAGGATATTTCAATTTGCTTTCATCATTTGACCAATTAGTATGTTTATACTAAAACAATTAGACCTCTCGGCCTCGTGGACTACGAGCTAACAGCCCATTCGGACTCGCAGACTCGGCCGCATTGCTATTAGCTCGTAGTCTACTTGGCCTGGAGGTCTAATTGTTAATTAGTAGGAAATTACACACTTATAAATACTTCTTTTTGTTACATGGTTCAAGTGAGTACTCTATCACTGAATACAATATACAAATTTACAAGTATTAAGTATACCATAGAGCTATAGCCAAAAGTCTTACATAAGGTCTGGGTAAAAAGCATGGGTGGGAGGGGATTATGAGGAGTGACATATTAAAAGGGAGGGGAGGGGGGGGGGTCAGAAAATACACCACAAAAACATCCCAGGACATTTTTAAGGGTAGCCGTTCATGGTTTGTAAGATCTTATTTGATTTGTTTACTAGCTATTTGTCAGGCATGTCGGAATTATGCGCGAAAAAAATCAAAATTATGCGGACTTTTTTCCCCATATTATGCGGAGAAAAGGGTGAATTATGCGGAAAATTATGCGGGATGACGTCATCACAGGAACGTAAACTTTGGGAAATTTTACATATATTTAGGTTATTGTGTTTGTTTTTCATGCAAAACTCCGTTTTTATCTTAGTTACGAAGTACAGAAGGCAGTACCAACAGAAGGAAAGATCTTTTTAGACTTTTTCGTTCTCGCACGCTTTACATCTCACTTGTATCATACGCCATATTGGAATTTGTCACGTGATCTAGTAAGGCACAGGGTGACCAGTAATGCTAGTGCCCAGACTCTTTTCTGATGAAATTTTGAACGCCTGGTACATTTGTGAAGCCCACGAAAACAAAACTATATTCGGAAAATTATAAGCATGTTTGGGAGCGTTTTTTGATCAAAAAAACAGTCAATGGACCACAAAAAACATTAGTAGAAGGCAAGTCATCTTAAAAAATGGTATAACATGGGAAAAAAACACGAATTATGCG